GTTGACCTGGCTAGCAGAGATTATTTAATTTGTTTGGGGTTTTTTTAATATTTCATTCAATTATTTTAGTTAAAAATGATTTTAACAAAAACAAACCTGATTTTAAAAAACTTGAATGTTTAACTACATTCCAAAATTCATATGCTTGTTTTGTTAAAATATTGTATGTTTGCTTCTGAAGAAAAAAATCCAGAATACATAACGTTGTTGTTTTAGTTAAATAAAACAATTTAAATGTCTGTCCGGTGATGTTCTCCTCCTAATACAGCATGGCAAGAAAATCCTCCAAATATTAATGATTAAACTGTTGAATTGGAGATAGTTCACCTCCCAATGACTTCGTAAATATCTGCTTCAATTATCTTTGGTAAATGAAATAACCAAACAATCATTCATTTTCTGATATAGCTATAAAACTAATCTGAAAAGTTTTCAAAATAAATCACTTTAAAAATGTATAGTGTGTACCTTCTAAAAATGAAACCTACCTCTGTCTCTGAGTTGTGAAGAATATGTATTAAGATTATAACAACCAACAAGAATGCACTTTTATGTAGAAATCCATGATTAAATCGAGTCTTCCTAACTAGTGACTTAAATCAAATCCACCCTGCTGGCAACTGATATTCTTTGTGTATTCCCACTTGGGGGTTGGTACCCATTGGCATCAAGCTCTTGGAATCCCTAGCAAAGCTGTGTTCTTTGGGACTACATGGTCACCCTCTATTGACATCAGCATTCAACATCTGAGTATATATAAGAGTATGGCCACCAAACACCTCAGTTCCTTCTTATGGAGCCAAATAGTATGTTAAGAACTCCAAGGTAGAAGGAAAGTGTGAATGCACAGAGGCAACTCTCGTACAACAGTTACCAGAAAGTAGCCTCTCCTTTTATGAGGGCCTCTATGTACAGTATTCCAGCTTGTGGAAGAGTGGCAAGCAACACCACATAGAACAGACAATGGATTGAGGAGTTCTTTAGGTAAAGAAGTACCGAACCACTGCTTGCTGAAATCTAGCATCAGAGCGGGAATCAAGATCTAACACAGGATATTTAGGGAAGATGTGAACTGAACTCCTAGTGGCTACTCAACATCTCTCTCCTATAGGTATTTGTCTCAGACATGCTACCCAGGCAACATGCTACCCAGCATTGCAGTATTTGAGGGTTTGTCTAAACTTGTAACACTACAGTGGCGCTGCAGTGCCACTGTACCACTTCAGTGTAGACACCATCTATGCCGATGGGAGTGGTTCTCCTATTAGCATAGGTAATCCATCTCCACAAGAAGCAGTAGCTATGTCAACAGAAGAATTCTAATTCTTCTCATTCTGATTCTTCCATTGACCTAGTACTGTCTACACCAGGGGTTGTCAGCTTAACCACAACGCTCAGAAGTGTTGATTTTTCACACCCCTGAGCAACATAGCTGGGTCAACCTAACTTTTTAGTGTGGACCTAGCCTCGGTGTACAATGAGACTTCATCCCTGTTGGGAAGGAAACTTGAACCTTAGAACTGCAAAAACCTCTGAGTGGAAATACTCTGTCTTTTACAGCTCTCCCCAGTGACACAAATGTTAAGATCTACAGAAGGTCTTAGTCCTTTCTAAGTAAAAGCAGAGTTCTCTTCACATGAAAGAGAGGTTCCTAACTCTCTTCGCTGGCAAAGAAAAGAAAGTGAGGTAGGTAGGGGGCTAAAAAATGCAAACATTTTTGCATTTGTAAATGATTCACCTGCAGAAGAAAGTGGTATAGTGTTATTAAATAAAATTTTCAGATAAATGCAACATTTTTCCATAGAAATTGCTTCAAAACAAGGGGCAGTACTTCTGAAAAAGACCAAGAAATACCAACTCCGGGATTACTATTTATCCACTAGACCCTGATGCTACAATCTGATCTATACAAACAGCTTCTTGCACCAGCATGGAGCCCCATTATCTTAAACAGATACTCCTGGGGGAATTCTGCACCACTGCACGCATACAGAATTCATGTCCCCTGCAGATTTTTTTGCTTCCCAGTGGAAAAATGACTTCTGACGGGGCAGAAAGAGAAGCTGCAAGAGTGGTCACGTGCTCCTCCCCAGCAGCACAGGCACGTCAGTTCTGGCACCCGGAACAGCCAGCAGAGACATCAATTATCCCCAGGGGGGTGGAGGGCCAGGACAGGGCGGCCGTGGGAAGACATCAATCACCACTGAGGGGGCAGGGCATGCATGCCAGTGACAGACAGACATTCTGCCCCTCTTGCTCGCTATTGCAGCATGCCTGACGTAGTGGGGCAAGGCTTCAGGGTGTTTCTGAGGAGGCAGGCATGGGGCAAAGCAGAATGTAGCAGCCTGCTTACTTAATTGTTCCCAATGTTCTTAGTGAATTCCCCCAGGAGTATAAAATGGGTGCACAAGTTTTAAGGTTCCTTTACATTGCCAGAGTAGTGTAAAGGAGCCTTTTGTAAATAACTGTATGGCCTTATAAATGCTTATGGTGCTTTAGTGATTAGAACTGATCTAAATTTTGGGGCTGAAAAAACTTCCTATCAATGTGATACATGAACTATTTACTACTGGCCTTTCTGGAGATGGTCAGTAGCCAATATAAATTGTGAGTTTGACGCCCCAACCCTCACTTGCTCTTTCAGTTGCCTAGGGCGTAACACTGATGTTATGGCTGCATATACTTGTTGACTAATAACTAGAAATAAAGGGTAAAACCTAGTTACATTACTATTAGACAAAGGGGGCATGGAGATTTCCTCCAATGCTCCTCACTCCCATTCTCCAGCCATTGTATTGTAGTTTAAATAAATTACCAAAATAATTGAAACTGGCATGATTATATTGCATTATTTTTACAAATAAATTACGAAGAATTTTAAAATATTGTGTGCAGAACTTTTAATTTTTTGGCGCAGAATTCCCCCAGGAGTAAATGAAGCTCTACATCATAGGAGTTATGGTCCGCATGTAGACTGTATGATATAATCAGGGTCCAAGTCAGTACAGTGTATGTTGAAATGGTGGTGTACATGAAAGTCCTACTATTTTTAAGGATTCTAAAGCTTGTAGTATATATTTAACACAGTTCAAAAGAACATGAGGGGAGAAGAATTTTTTTAATTTTACCATTTGTTTCCTTATTATGAGTTTACAACACTGTGCAGAGTTAAAAAAAAAAAAAAGGCACAGTTACAACTGGTATGACGGTAATCCCTTACATTAATGGACTGAAAAATGTGCCAATTTTATTTAAAAAATTAAAACATAGAACTGGGACAGATAAGATAGTTAGAGATAGAAAGAACTTAACTTTTTTATAAAAAAGTTAACTCCATTAAAATAGTCCCCTATAGCAACTGCCAATCTTGAAATGAACCCAGTAAACAGGAGAACTGCAAGAGTTTATGAATTCTCTATTATCTGGATATTTGTTTTTTGCACTTTATTTTCTCTTTGATTGGAATCCAGTGTCTTATCTGCCTCTTTTCCGTCTATATTAGCACAGTTTTCCCTTCCCTCTACCATCCAAACAAAGTAACAGCTGTGCTAAATTGCCTCTGAGAATGCAGCTCTCTGCATATACTGGACTGTCTGTGTGAAACAGTAACTGAAGTAGTCTCCAACTGCGCATTTAAGAGCAAATGGTTGTCTGTCACTAATCTGCCTGAGACAGTTGCATCTAATTCTTTGTTTAGCCTACACATCCCTCCCAGAGCCACATCTCCAAAAAGGACTAGTGTCTATGACCCAACACCTATTTCTGTTCTACTGCAGTGGTTTCCAGGTGCAGGCCAGTGGCATCAGGAGTGTTGAACTTCAGGATTCTGTCACCCAAACTTTCCCTCTTCCTTATAAAAGTCTCCATGGTAGTGCAGCACTCACCTCAACCCATCCTAATTCAAAGAGTGCATGCTATAATCCGTTTTGCGAACCAAGCTGCTCCATAACCCCATCTCATGATCACAAAGACCCATTCAAACCCTGGGTGCTTTAACTCACCAACAGGGCTCAGTTAGTTACCCTGTACCCACACCTCACAACTAATGCATTAAAACCACAAAAGCTCTAATTCTCTTAAAACATAGATAGACCATTCCATACTGCTGTCAATAAGCAAAAGCTTCATTCAAACCATGCAGCTCTTACTCGCACCCGGTTTGAGCTATTGTGTATCCCCATCCAATGATCACACACACAGACCGATTTGGAACACCGGCGCATTAACCTGGCCAAGGCTCAGGCCCTTTCAAACTGTGGGTCCTCTAGTCTGGCATGGGGGGCAGGCCACGGTAGCCCACCTTCCGAACACGTGCCTTTTGATCCATGTTCCCTATTCACATCTAGCAGGGAGCCAGTCTCACCCTCTCCAACCCATCCTAGTCTAGGGTTTAGGCCGCTTCACATACCCCTCTCGCCATCGCGCAGCCCCATTCAAACGGCGGGTGGGCTGGCTGAGTCGGGGACGCTCCATACGCCCACCCCACCCTAGGAGATGGTCGGTCCCCCCGGCCTGTTCACACACGGGCGGGAATTGGGCGTTCCAGCCCCATTCACACAGCGCACGCTTTGCCCTGGCCTGGCGGGGCTTATACCGTAACTACCCCCGTTTCACCCACCGCGCGCCCCATGCCAGCACGACCCACGGCCGGAGTCCAACTCCCCCGTCGCCCAGGCGTGTCTCTGGGGTGTGGGGGACCACACGCGTGGGTGTGGGTGGAGGGTGATGTCAGTGACCCCGTCCCGACTGCACAGGGTCCGGATTGGGGGGTCCGGACCCTCCCCGGATCTGGGAGGGGACCGTGCGCCTCCAGTCCCTGCCCGGCAACCCTGAGGCCCGGAATCCAAGCGACGGTTTATCCTCCTTCTAGGGCTGCAGAGAGCGGAGGAGCTGGACAATACCCAGCCGCAATTCCCCGGAGAGGCGGCACCGGCCAGCGGCCTCCCTCACGTCGGGGAAGTGTGAGTGTGTGTGTGGCGGGGGTGCATCCCCTGGCTTACCTGCGAAGGAGACGGAGCGGGGAAGGAACCACTCCGTCCGCCAGGCGGGCTCCCGCGCTCGGGGCCGCCGCCGCTGCAGCTCACCCGGTCTGGATTACTGTCATTCAGTAGCGGCTACCTGACCCGAGGTGGGGGAGGGAACAGCAGGCACCACCACAAATAGAGAAGGAAGGTAGAAAACGCATGCGCATAAGTTCCTCTCTCTGTAGAAGGGGGGAAATGAGCCCATCCGCGCAGGCGCCGGGTGATGAACGACCGCGCGCGCGCCCGCCTACGAGTGAAGCGTCTGCGGCGCAAGTGACTACGCGCGCGCCCGGCCTGACAGACCCAACGATCGCAACTGCCCAACCGCCGCTGGCAGTGGGAACAGCTCGCGCTCAGCTGCGGGGGTAGAGGGTTTGAGGCGCGCGCACCCGCTTGCTGCGGTTGGTCGCCACAGAGAAAAAGGAAGGAGTGGGGGGAATGTAGCTACGCATAGCCCTCGCCTGGGATTGTTTCCCCATCGCTCGCGTTCACTGGGGCAGGTTCCAGTCCACAATACATTAAACATGTGGAACATCTGGAAGGGCCATCTCTGGACGCTACCCCAGACTGCTTTTTTTAGGGCCCCTTTCCACTCACGCCCCTTGGGGAGCCTGCCTACTCTGTTCCAGACCACCTGAGTGCCTCTAATAATTCATCCTTCGCATTTATACATCTTCAGGGGTGCTGCAATTTTATAGTGGGGGTGCTGATGATGGAAATCATGTATTTGGTGTTTGTTACTACTACTTCAAGATAGTGGGTGCAGCAGCACTCCCAGAACCCCTAGTTCCAGCACCACTGTTCATCTTCAGCCTGCTTTACAAACATTGATCTCTCTCCTTAATTAACTCGCTGTTTTTTCTCTGCTACACGGAAGTCAGTTATTGCTTAGTTCACAGCTCATTTCAAAGATGTGTCAGCAATGTGTACATACACCAGCCAATCCATGAACTACCATCCAAACGGTGGCCCGCCTGCTATATATACATCATTTCTAAAAGAGAAAGGTAGCGTCTGTAGAGACAACAGGTCCCAGGATGAAAAGTTCTGTTTGAGCAGACCACAGTAAATCAAGATGGAGCATGGCATGATTTTTATGAGGCTATGTGCACTGCTTTTTAAAATCTATAGCAGGAAACCAGGCAGAAGGGATTAGGGAAGATTCCACACAGAAGCCCCCCACCTCCACCCTTTAAAGCAGAAAATGAGAGGGAATGATGTTAGGGATTGCACCATAACAAGCAAATACTGTTTTCCTGATACTAATAAAACTTCTGTGTTGGGTGTTAGAAGAAAGCAGTCCTTCCTATTGTCACATGGCACAGTGTCAGAAGTTGACTCATTTTGAACCAGCATAAATGAAAGGAAAATTAAATACCAAATTTCAACTCTCCACCAGGCTTTCAGTTTGATAGGCCAATGCAGTGGCCTGAGTTGAAAGAAGGGTTCACCAGATTTCTAACTGCAACAAAGTTTAGCACAGTGATTAAATATTCAATATTTAATCCAAGGGGGAGCAAAGCTGAAAATATTTATAAATCATTTTCCTTCACTGAGGGAGGAGATAACTATTTTGCTTCACTACGCATTTATAATTCTTAGAACGAGCCAGTTAAATACTGGATAAGGAGAATGGGTTGACAATTTATTTAGACTTTCAAATGACCTTTGGCAAAGTCTCTCACAAGAGGCCAGTGAGGAAACTAAGTCTGAAGTGAGAAGTAAAGTATTATCATGCATAAAAAATTGGCTGAGACAGGAAACAGTATAGGAATGAATGGTCAAATTCCATAATGACAAAAGGTTAGCAGCAGAATGTCATTCAATTCTGTACTAGAACCAATATTGGTTAATATATTTATTAATGATCTGAAAACGGAGGTAAGCAATGAGATGTCAATATTTGCAGATAACATAACATTATTCA